ACATACACACATATATATATATATACATACACACATATATATATATATACATACACACACATATATATATATACATACACATATATATATATACATACATATATATATATACACATACATATATACACATACACACATATATATATATACATACACATATATATATATACATACACATATATATATACACATACATATATACACATACACACATATATATACACATACACACATATATATACACATATACACATATATATACACACATACACACATATATATATACACACATATATATATACATACACATATATATATATATATATATACACACACATATACACATATACATACATACACATACATATACACACATACATACATACACATACATACACACATATACATACATATACATACATATACATACATATACACACACACACATATATATATATATATACACATACTGTATGTATTCTGCCTCTGACTGAGGCTAAACTACTGACACCAACAACTGCCAGCAAGAAAATGTGCAGTTCATTATTTCTTTGTTCAAACAACATGAAACTGAAAGTAAGAGTTGTGTTCTCACTTGTGGACTAAACCATTGTTTCTCTAAAAGGGGGGGGGGGGGACTCAGTTGTAAACTGGATGTTGAGGATTAACAGTCAGAGTTGGGTAAAAAATAAAACCTGATGATGAAAAATGCACATATGTTTGAGGATTAATTGCAGATAAGGAGGAAGGTAACCAGTCTGTGAAACCAGCTTTAAGTTGGTATCTTCCACAAGCAAGATCAGACACCGAGTGTTCCCGCTCTCTTCTTTGTGCTGTAACCTCAAGAGGAGAAACAGCTCACAGCGATACAGAAACGGAGACGGTGAGTATTAATGAGGCTTTGCTGCTTATTCATTTTAGATTCCTTCATAACATTCATTACAAAACTAAATTCTCTGGTGTTCCGATCAAAGGAAAAGGGTTGAATGGTGCCTGATGTGACTCATCTGTGAGTTTAGTTGTGCCATAAAGAGTCTTGTAACATGACGGGTTGAAAGGTGAGGCGGCTCGGTGTCCACGTGTTTTACTCTCCTGCTTTATACACATTTAACAAACTACCACCTGTTTGCTCTTCACTTGTTTTGTTGAGAAATAAACCATTTTTCATTTGTTTACCTCGGAGAGGACTTACTCAAATGTTTGTTTCTACATTTGTTCTTCGCCGTTTGTTGTGCGTTTCTATCTTCCTGTAAATGAATTACATTTGTTCACATAAAGAAGATTCTGGTCCAAACAAAGCCTCAGAAATTGATTCTTTTTCAAATGTCTTAAAGAATATGAAGTCGTTTTGTAGTTCTTTTCTAAAATATATATCAGTTCACCCATAAATACAACATAATTAAATATAATAGTTAATTAAACGTACTTAAAGAGTATCCCCCTTTACTTATACTTTCCTCATACTTTTAGGCTGCCCTCAGCACCGGTACCGTAAATGCACGAATAGACGCACAACAAACGTTTTGCAAATAGCAGGAGGCTTTTATTTAGTCTGTGTGGAAATCTTTTGTTTTTAAATCCCAGATGAAGAACAAAGACATTTTAACATGCAGGCCATTACAGTAGCTTCAGTGTTTATTGTTCATAAAATATATGGCGTGTTGAGAAAATGAAATCATTAATTCTCAATAAATGGTATCTATTTACCTGATAAAGCTGTCAGAGTGACGGTTCCTGGTTTTCTGTTCATTCGTCTCTCTGTTACAGATGTCGTTGCGGAATTTCGAGACAAAGTGGAAAACAAACCTGACCTCCATCCTGGAGCAGCTGAGCCAGCCAGAATTCAGGAAGTTGATGTCCGATCTGGACAAAATCCCTCAAGTTCGGAAGGCGGAGAAGCCAAGAGAAGAAATGCCTGATGTCATCATCCAGGTGTACGGGACCGAAGGGTCCATCTCTGTGATGGATAAAGAAATGAAGGTCTTACAGAGGATGGACGCTCGAGTCCAGGAGCCGCTGAAGCGCTCTGTGGAGGAGCTGAAGAAACGACGACAGAAAATAAAAGGTGAGTTCAGAAGATCAACCGTGTGAATCCATTTAGATTATTGATCCCGTGTTGAGTTCTTCACAAAGTGATCAACGTGAATATGAAACACAAATACATAACCGATTCACAGAAACACAGACGAGCAAACTCGATGGCTTTCTTCCAGGTATTACGACTTTGTTTTTTAAATGTCTTCTTTCAGAGGCGGCGAAAAAACCTGCAGCTGAATCAGCATCAGTGGCCAAGAAGTCAAAACCTGCAGCTGAATCAGCATCAGTGGCCAAGAAGTCAAAACCTGCAGCTGAATCAGCATCAGTGGCCAAGAAGCCAAAACTTGCAGCTGGTAGATCAACATATACATACACACATACACAGATATATACACACATATACATATACACATATACATACATATACATACATATACATATACACACATATATATATATATATACCTATGTATATTTACGTAATATATATATAAATGTATATTGTATGTATTGTATATGTATAAATATATACGTATATATTTACATATATACATTTAAATATTTATATAAAATTTGTGTGTTTTACTTTTTAGGGACGTCGAGCAAACCTGCATCAGCATCAGCGGCCAAGGAGCCAAAACTTGCAGTTGGTAGATCAACATATACAAATATACATATATATATATATATATATACACACTGTATATATATATATATATATGTACATTTATATAAATATATATGTATATTGTATATGTATATATATATATTAGTGCTGAGCAACGATTACAAATTTTAATCGCGATTAATCGCATGATTTTTTTGAGAATCGCATTGTTATGCGCAAAATTCTATATACTGCTGTATGAACAAGAGGGCAATAATATCTGGTTTGCAAACACTTTAAATAAATAAGGTTCTTTTTAACAGCAGTATTCCCTTTACACAGTAGCAGTTAAAATATTTGTTGTATATTATATTTTATGAAATCAACACAACAAAAAAGCAATGTGTGTTGAAACAATATTCTATGAATAATTGAAGTCACTATAATTCAATGGAAACTCTTCTGTTCCTGCTTCGTACGTGTTGTTGAAGTCCAGATATGAGGAAACTCAACGCGTCTAGCTGGTTCATAACAGTCCGGAGGAGCTCCGTGGATCTCATGGAGCTGTGTTCACTGAGTCTATGAGCCACACGTCGCTGTTACAGCTGTATCAACACTAAACTAACTGATTTAACGGCAATAAACCGACAGAAAAGGGATTCTGAAATAACTACGTAATGTATGCGATTTATAAAAAGTATGAATTCATGTTTCGTTAGTTCTCTCCACAAATAACTTTTAAAATACTTGTCTTCTCAAAGGAGTTTGGATCGATCGGTGCTATGCTAAGCTAACATTGTAGCAGCTCCATCAACACTCAACATAACGTCACACAGGCGTAAATACGGCAGCGTCTATTCATTGTTTGTACCATATGGTTTATACCAGTGGTGGGCCGTCAGGGCCTGCAAGGCCTTCTCTGCTGACCTAAACAGAATCACAAAGTTATATCTATTTTATCATTTCATAATTTTTCTTAAATACACTACATGTATTATAATTTATAAAAATATTTTTCCCATTATCTTATGTTCTCATTGCACAGCTCCTGTCTTCCTCAGTTGCTCTGCTTCCAGTGCAGCTTATTTTAAGTAGAGCTTTTATCCAATCAGATCTCACCTCTGTGTCTCTAGGTAAGAAGAGAGCCTGAGGCCTGCAGACTCACAAGTGCATCCATGAGCAGTTTAAGTGAATGGGGACGATATTGTTGATTGTCATAGTGTTCAACCAATCAGATCTTTAGTTTGACATGTTAGGCGTATTCTTTGACGTGTCAGAGCCTGCTAGCCGGCCTATAATGACGTCAGCATTATGTGCAGCTCAGTGTCCATGCAGCTCTGCCGTGAGGTGCAGAGTGCGCTGTGATTGGTCAGTGGGCAAGCACGTGACTATCGTTAAACTTAACATCAGAGGCTGTCGTAGTGAATCACATCACGTGATGCAGCTCAGCCAATCAAATATGGGCATTCTGACTGAGATGTACCACACACCATGACACAGGGGGCTGAGACGAGGAAAGACACTGCAGAGCAGTACGTACAAAGCTCTTTAGGCCGTGACTTGTCATTAAGGAGTGATGGTGTGTCCCACAGCCAGACCAGCTGAGAACCACTGTCCTACATGAGCGCAGAAAACATTAGATTTTCCTGAATATAAGCTTCTGCATTTTCCAAATGCTCTAGCACTATTCAAATGTATTGTAAGTCTTGTACCGAACGTTACGTACATTTAATACGTGCATAGTTACAGCCTTAGAAATGAATAACTCTGGAGCCATCATGTGGTTATAAGGTGGTATTTCAGCTGCAGGGCAACAGTGAAGGCCTAGGTATAAAATGCACGGCCCGCCACTGGTTTATACAGATTTATACAGTTTATCTGGTCTCCAGTAATATGAGGTATCGTAGAGCTCTGGGTGAACACAGACGGCTACAGGATGTGTTTCCTGATTCAACATCAGGACGTCAGTGATGACAGGAGGAGCATCTCAACGCTGATAGGCTATCGCGCCGCAGTGCCCGCCCCAAATGCTCTCATTGGTTTAGACGCATGATGACGCCCATCCCAAGCCAATCCTGATCAACATCCCGCCCCTCCTGTGAGCCATGGTCTGTCTGTCTGTGTAGTCAGAGCCAGAGAGCAACGGCCTTTCAAAATAATAATTAAAAAAAAAACTGCGTTAACGCGCGATAAAATAATTGGCGGCATTAATTAATGCGTTAATGCGATAATAACGCGTTACCTTGGCCAGCACTAAAGTATATATTTACGTATATAAATATATACATAAATATATATAAATATATGTAAATATATACGTCTATATAAATATATACGTATATATTTACATATATAAATATTTACATATATAAATATATATATATATAAAATGTGTCTGTGTTTTACTTTTCAGCGACGTCGAGCAAACCTCCATCATCTGCATCAGTGGCCAAGAAGCCAAAACCTGCAGCTGGTAGATATTATTATAAACCATGTTCATGAGATCATCTGATATTCAGAACATTAAAACAAGTAAAAAATGTTTATGTTTTACCTGAAAACCATCAACAGTTTGTTTCTTCCTTTAAAGGTCTGAAGAGCTGCCAACCTGTCAAGGTGAGAATCAAAAGGGTTCATGATCAACACTCTCCTCTCACACTGTCTGCTGCTTTCAACAGATACATATTCACCTTCTTATATGTATTACACACATACATATAAATATATATATGTTATTATACATGTTAAATATGAATATTTCGTGTGTAGAAGAAAACCATCAGTCAACTTTCTGCTCAGAGCTCCAATGAGAGACAATGGAAGGTGACCAACAGACGTTTTTAATCAATAGTCGGTTTTAACATGAGAAACTTTACTTGAGTATTTCTATTTACTGACACTTTGTACTCAACTACATCTCAGAAGGAAATGTACGTTTCACTGCACTACATTTATCTGACAGCTTCAGTCACTCTGCAGATTCAAAAAATACAAAACATATTCAACAAATAAAGCAATATTTGCTGTTATTGACATAAAACTTGATTGATCCTTGAGGGGGGAATTCAAAATCAACCCAACTGTATATAAAGTCATTAAAAAGAGCTTTTACCACATTATTGTATCAATTATTATAATATAATATTAATTATTCGCCAACATGACTACATTTATTTTTGGTACTTTCAGAATTTTTTGATGTTGATAATTTTGTACTTTGACTTTAAATTCAAGACTTTTATTTGTAACGTAGTATTTCTACTTTTACTCACACGATCAGTGTATTTCTGAGTTTTCATCTGCTTGTGTGTATCTGTACATGACTACATTAACAGCCTTTGTGTAATTCAGTCTTTAAAATCATAATCCGTCATCAAACCTGTAAATAATGTTGTGGTTTGTTCAGATGGATCCTGTTGGAGCCGTGAAGACCAAACAGAAGACAGAATCCACCAAATCCACCAAATCCACCAAGGTATCAGCCGGGACGCCTTTGTTCTATCGAGACTGAACACTCGTTTAGACACTTGTTTCAGACGTGTTCGATTCTCCTCTAAACAAAGTGTTTATTTATTAGTGAGAATAGAGGCGTCACATTTTCTACAACAGGATTTCCTTTAACGAATCAGTCATCATCAAACAATGTAAAAGAAAAAAGTATTCTCAATGAGAATTAAATATTTGGGCACTTAGTAAAGAAACTTACCTCAACACTTAAATAATCACATCTCATGGTCTTCACATGTTTTTACACCTTTTTGAAAAGAGCTTTAACTCAATTGAGATCAGTTTCTCTTTTTGAGTTCATGTATTTCATGAAACTAGAAGAAAAGAAATTGTATTCAAAGGATCCTCCTTAACTTTATTAAAGTATGGAGGCCCTCTTTAGATTTATACGACTCCCTACAAGAACATCAAAGAGGTCGTCCTCACCTACGTCCCATCACCTGTAATCTTCGCCTACGTCTCGTCGTCGTCATCTCGTAGCCTACGCCCCGTCGCCCGCGCCCCGTCATTGCCGCCTAAGTCTCGTCGTCGTTGCTTTAGTCTCGCCTAAGTCTCGTCGTCGTTGCTTTAGTCTC